GTTTGAGCATTTTGCTTTTGAAAGTGACTTTAATGCAGATTGCATGAGTTTTGTTGTGATTCATGATTCTGTTTGTGTATATGATAATATTTGTCGCATGATATTTGTGGTTGGGTCGGACAAAGGGCCTAGATGGGGGACAATTCTGTTCAACAAATAATACAAGCCCACATGGCCCCTGGACCGCTTCATGAAGGCAACATTTCAGAGCAAGCTTCAATATATGTCTAAAAAGACATTGAATATAAAAATGAAAAGAAAGAAAAAGACTTTGCATTCTTTCTTAGACTTTAAAAAATAACGAAGAAGAAAAAGGAATAAAGCAACAAAAAAAAATGCGTACATAATATCTACCTATGAAACATCAAAACGTAATTTTGTAACTGTAAAATATATAGATACTAAAAAGTTAAAGAGTATTGCAGCTTATAATGTTTGGTTTAATTTTCTAAATCCTCGAATCCTGGTTTTGGACTAAAACAAACTTGTCTATCTTAAAGTTTTTGCCCAAACTATAGTTTGGACTTGGAGTTCTAAAAATTTAAACAGAAAATGCACTTATGCTTATTTATTTCACCTAATCTTCCATTGTACACTCGTTCAACTAACGAATATAATGGCATGCTTGGTTATGAAACGAAATCTTAGCACTAATCTAATATTAACGGTAAAATTTGTGTATAGTTTCAACTTTAAACTGCTACGTTGACTTTTTACTTGTTAAATAAATATAAATACAATTTTTTTTTTAAGAAAAATAAAAAATTGTGTGATTACATGTTTTTTTTATTTCTTATAAAATAATCAAATTTGTTCTTAGTTATTTTTTATTTAATAGATAGAGTCAAATTTGCATTGACACCTATGAGTCGCGTTTCTCTGTTGATAACCTCTTTTTTGGGTGAAATATTCTATGAAACCACCCAAAACAAAATTGTCCGAATGGTCCCCAATTAAAACAACCAGTAAAAAATTGTACTTAAAAAAAAGCAACTAGTAGTATTTATAATTATTTTATAAGAAATTTAAAACATGTAATGACACAATTTTTTTTTTTATACATTTTAATTTTGTATTTATAATTATTTAACGCTCTTAACAAACTATCTAATTTTCTAATGAAAAGTTCACACACACCCACACCCACATATAATTTTAATATATTAATATAAAATTAAACAATTAAGATTTAATGAGCAGAGTTAATAATAATTTTTTATTTTTATTTTCATTAAACTTAAATTCAATTATTTTATTTATTCTTTAAAATTAATTTCTATTATATATATATATATATGTATGTATATATTTCACTATTAGCCCGTTCTTAATTTTAGATAAAAGTTAGAGGCATTTATATTTATTCATATTATTTTTTAGAGAATTTCTAGAGAGCTTGATTGGATTTTTTACGCTCATAACTGCTTCTTTTAATTTCCTCAAGAAATGCTCATCCAAAAAGAACAAAATGCATGCAAGAAGAAATATAGAAAGACTCGCTTTTTTTTTTTTTTTTTTTTTTGGTAAGCAGAGAGACTCGCTTTACCAATAACAGACATTGGCTTTTTTCACATGTACGTTTTACTCATTTTTATTTTTATTTTATCTCTATAGAAAAAAGTTTTCAATATGTCCATTATACATATAATTTTTATAAATTTTGTCCTAGTGGTATATTATTGTTAAGACATTAAGAGAATATAGAATTATTATGAAATATATGACCGAATTAAAAATAAAAATTACATATAAAAACAAAAAATATTATATTTTTAATTTTTTCGTATGATACTTATTTTCAATTTGATCCCCAAAAAGCTCGGAAGAAGCCAAAAAGAAAGGACATGCAGAACCACCGCAGGCAAGGGCACATAATTGATCTGCAAGGAAATAATAAAAGGTGAAATATATATTATAATTTTTTTTTGTAGGGAAAAAATTTAGGTGAGATTAGACATCGGTACTTATAGACCCTTCGACCTCTTTGAAGATTTCTAAAAAAGATTATATATCGTCCATCAACAAAGTCTTATATCAGTTAAGGATACAAACTCACACTCTTACGAAATATAAAGATAATTCTTAACTAAGTGTCCACCATATATTATAATTTCAAGTAAGACAGGGAGTGACAATCTTCGCCCTGCAAACTAGGGCTGTGCATAGGTCAGGTCGGGTCAGGTTTTTGTCCGATTCGACCCAACTTGGTTTTTATAAGTCAGGTATTTTGACCCGACCCACTTTAATTTGATCCAAGTCAGGTCTGACTTGGTTTGGATTTTGTTGAACTAGTTCAGAACTGGATCAGATCTGACCTGACTTGGTTTCTGAAGTGGGACTGACTTGATTTCTGAAATGGGTCAAATCTGACCTGACCCGTTTTTGACTTGGTTTCCTTACAAAATTTCGTTGAAATTTCTACGTTGCAAATGACAAAAATTTGGTCATAAAATTATTTTTTCGTCGGAATACTTTTTGTCGAAAAACGACGAAATTTTTTCTCTAATGAAAATTTTACAAAAATAAATTTTCTATCGAAATTTAGTTTCTGTCAAAAGTTTTGACGAAAATTTCTTCCATCAAATGTTTTAAACGAAAAAAGAATTCTGTCAAAAATTTTGACGGAATATTTTTCGTTCAAAATTTGGATGGGAATGTGTTCTGACGAAAATTTCGACAGAAGTTGTTTCGAGGGAAATGTTTCATTTGATACTTTCGATGAAATTTAAATTCTCTAAAGAATTTTGACAGAATATTTTTTCCGTCAAAATTTTTTATCGAAATATTTTTTGTCAAAAATTTTTACGATTTTTTTTTACAGAAATGTGTTCCGTTGAAAATTTTGATGGAAATATTTTTTTATCAAAAAACTTGACGAAAAATTTTTTCGATAGAAATGTGTTTCGCTAAAAATTTCGACGAAATTTTTTTTTGTCAAAAAATTTAACGAAAATATTTTCGTCAAGAACTTTCGTCGAAATTTGAAATCCGTAAAGAATTTTGATGAAATTTTTTCGGTCAAAAAATTTCGATGGAAATGTGTTTCGTCGAAATTTTTGATGAATATATTATTTTGTGAAATATTTTGACGAAATTTAGATTCCGTAAAAAAATTTGACAAAAAATATTTCGTCAAAGTTTTTTTACAGAAATGTTTTTAGTCACAAATATCGATGAAAATATTTTTTGTCAAAAATTTTTGCAAAATTTTTTTGTGGAAATATTTTCCGTAAAAAATTTTGACGTAATTGTTTTACGTTAAAACTTTTCATTTAATGTAATTGTGATTTTTTTCATTTTTTTTTAAATAATGAGTATGGGTCAAGTTTTGAATCAATGGGTTAATTATTAAATGAGTCAGGTCTAAAACCTGACCCAAATAAAGTGGGTCAATATTAAATCCAATTCAAAAAAAATGGATATTTATAGATCAAGTCAAGATTAAATCAAGGGCGGAGCAAGTGAACCAATTATTTTGTGCAGCCCTACTCCAAACATGCACCCCAGCTAAAAAGGGACTTAAGAATGCACTTAAAAATACTTGTTTGAAGGCGTGCAATATTTGATTATAAATTGCGCTCAGAAGCCAACTAGCATGAATAAACGTGCAAAGTTAACTAAATTATGCTAAAATATAGTACAATGCCAATTGAACGAGTTTTTTCTGCTTTAAGCCTAATCTGTGCTTTCCTCTTTTGCATTTGACCTACGTCGCCTATCCTAGACGAAAGATATGCAAAAAATAATAAATAAAAAGTAAAATAAATCCAATGCTGTTGGGATAATAGGCAAAATATTCTAATCCTGCTGTGGTTCTTTATTCCGTTGTAAGGAGTAGGAGGAGGACATGAGATGGTGGACATCTTTACATGTTGACACTGCCTAAAAAATCAAAATCAAGATTAATGAGAGCAACAATGAATACACACTGATTTTTTTATTTTTATCACGGTTTCAACTGTCACTGATTTTTACTTTTATTTTTCCTTTCTCACATAGAGAAGTACTCCACTTTTGTGTCGGAATGAACAATTTTTTGACATGGTTAATGCTGAGTTCCATTTGTCAACCCAAATTCAACCTCAATGAGTCAATCTCAGTGGCTCAGTGCACCATTCCACTTCCCATCCTTACAGTGTAATGATTTTGTCTCTACTCCTAACATACGTTTGTCTTGTCCACTGGGTACATTTTTAAAATTATTATCAGTACCGTATCAGTAAAATAATAACTGAGTAGGAATATTACGGAATTATCAAATAATTTAAATTTGAATGTGACACTTTGTGGGAGTACAGTTTTAGTATTCCAACTAATTCTCATGTTTAAATAGCGTAGGAATACCTCATAAGAATAAAAGAATTTCAGAGTGATTCATTTACCATTCGATTAGTTCTCTACGCCATCCTAAGGAGAATATATCCCAAATTCATTTAGCATTCAAGCTTAAGTGAATATATCCCAAATTCGCTTTTGCTAGGGACTTTTGGTTTCCTTATTTATGCAAGTCTTTTGGATGAACTGATTAACACAGTACTGAAGATTACGACGATTTCAAATTCAGCAAAGATAAAGCTGAAAAATAAAATAAAATAAAATAGGGCAATCTGGTTCTAAGCAACTGGGCTAGTGTGCCTTAAAATGCAGGTAAATAAGAATACCTAGTTCGCTAGCCTCTGTATATATGCATGCCATCTTTAAGAGATACGATATATATCTCTACTTGATGAAGTTAACAACTAATGGAATGGAATTCCGCTTTGAACCAGAGATGCCTTCGAGTTCGAGAAAACAGGAAGAGTATCAACTCACAACGATATACCTACTACAACTTTTATTACGCTAATTCTTAAAAGTAATCTATCAATTTATGTTTCACGGCACAGTATATAATCTACGTTTATTGGACTCGCCTCTAGCAATAAATACTGCCCTATCTTTGTGATTGTGAATTATGTTCAGCCATTAATTACTAGAGAGAGTACACCCCTTGCGGCAGGGACAAATTCAATGGCAATTGATGCACTTTGATTCAAGGGTACATATATAATGAAGAAATGCATTTAATATGCGCTAAACACCGTATTCTAACCAAACCAGGAAATACAAAATGAGGTTCATATATTCATGTATCACTAAAAAATATATGAAATAGTGAATTTATTTACAACACTTCATCTTGTTGGGCGTAAAACGAACCATCATCAACAGGCAACGATGGTGGGGTTCCAGGTGGTATATGAGCAGCACCGTTCTCACCAGCGCATATGCATAGAGCCTCTGCATCTCTGAGTGTTGCATCAAGGTCAATGTGACCACTTAGCTCATTTATAAACTTCAAAAGGGTGTCAAAGTCCATTTCCTCTCCCATTATTTTATTACGGTATCGTTTCAAGACTGCGACACATACATACAGGTGCAGATGCTCAGACGGATAATGTGTCCATAACACTTCCCACAAGCGCATTGTTTTCTCGTAGTCGAACTCCCTGAAATGTCAATCAGTATTGTTTAGTTGTCTAAATAAGTATGGTAGATAAAAGTCTCAGATAAAAAAAGGCAAGACTAATCAGACTTGCAAATTAGAAACTCTAATAATATCACTAACATCAAGTAGATTAATTTGTAATCTCTTGAGACACAAAAAAAAAAAAACAAAACCACCAAACATTTAATCTCTACAGAACCAATTCTATGGATAATATAATTTCCGCCCAAGATTCTCTATAACTGTTGAGGAAACTGTTCTCAAGAGAAGAGAGACCAGACTTAATCTTCTCAGGTACGGGTCAAGAAATCTGTTAGATTTTTTTTTGTTGGGTGGGAGGGGTTTGTTCAAAAAAAATTGTTCAAAATTGAAACAGGATGAAATTCTTGGACATTCTTATCAGACAGAGGGCGCTTGTTCTCTGCAAATGTAAAGCCTGAAGTGCTCTTCCAGTATAGAATCCTTCTGATACATCTTACGAGATTTAAAGCATAATCACCGTAAAGTGTTAGCAACCTAGAGAAACGTTGTCCACAATCTGTATATCATAAGTCCAAATTAATTTTCACAGATTCCCTTCAGGTAAAACACAGATTCATTACGCTAATCAGGAGGCAAAATCATCTCCAGCAAGCAGAGAGAGGAGGAATATAATTCAGTGAGGACCCAGTTTTCTCAAAGAAAGCAGTTCAAACAGAGATTCATCAGGACCATTCAGTTGCAATCGAATGGTAGTTTTCAGCGGTATATTTGGTTATTGAATTTGAATTCTATCCAAAAAAAATTCCATCGAATGACAGCTCGCCTTTTCTGTTGCCGGCATAGGCAAACCATTTTCAAAAGGTAATAAGGACAAAATAACTACATTTGACAACATAGAAACTCAACACTACAAAAATCATATGTACCAAAAATTATTAAACAACGACAATTATAGCAAATCAAGGAACCTAACCTTTTGAATTGAATCAAAATCCAGCGGAAACAAAAGAAATAATTCAAGCAGTCACGCTGCTTAAAATAGTTATGCAATTGACCATCCAGCAATTCCACCAACTGTAACAAAGAAATATATTTAGTTAGGAGTGGCAAAGGATGCCAAAAGTAATACATCTCAGTACCAGAATTCCTACAAAGGTTTGGAGACCAGTTATCCAGAAATATAGCATATATGGTGGGATGGTGACAGATAGACATACCAAAAGAGAGAGACTCTCAAAGTATTTTTATCAAGCTTTAAAGCTTAGTAAGCTTTAGGTTGAGGGGAAGTGTTAAAAACCATGTCTAAGTTCATCTGGTCGCTATTCAAACCAACCTCTGCCCTCCATACCCAAACCAAAAAAAAAGTTCATTTGGTCAAGGTTCATTGTACCTCTTTGGTTATGTAAACTCCTCTCCATTGTGTAGTTAATAAAAACAGATATTTTCTCTCTGAAATTCAACACTAATCAATAAAAATTAATAATGGGGTGTGTATGTGGCTTGTCAAGGAGAGAGAGAACAAGAAAAAACCTTAGATAATGCAAAAAGTTGTGAGTGCATGCCATTTTGGTCACGATTAAAATTGGGTCCAAGACGTTCCATTAGAGCAACGAAACACCAAAATGCCTCTGATTCATCACCCATCACAAACAATATTGGAGACAGAAGATCACTCATTCCCTGCAAAACAGCATATATATAAGATCCCTAATCATATGAGACAACAATCCTCAACCATTACTTGGTTTTCAAATTTGAGGAAGGGGAGAGGATGGTATACAAACAATAAAGGGGCTTGACGATTCATGGTTTCAAAAGATACTCGATTCAGAAAGATAATAGCTACTAAGATAATACTCCCTGACTGTAGTGAATACATAATATTTTTTGTTTAAGCAAATCACACATGCATATACAAGAGGGCCTATAACTTCAAAAAAGTATAAGAACCAAATTTTTGGTGTTCCAGATATATAATATTAACAACAATTAAGATTAAGCCCAAGATCCACTGCATAGTACCTGACAATAACCAAGATCAAAGTTGTAGAATGAATATGTCAACAGGATATCTCGCAGAACATTAACATTTGGATTGTCATCCCCCTCATAGAAAGCAAGTGATCTATCAGTCCTCACCTTCAAAAATACAAGAAAAGAGAGTTAAACCTAAACAAGCATCATTTATCTGTTCATTTGTAGTCATTCTAAATCAGTTGCCCTAGTTTCCAACTTACCACATCTTTCTCAATAAGACCTTTCCTTTCCCTAAATTTTGTGAATCTTTTAGCCTGTGCCGAGGAGATACTCTACAGAGGAAAGTACATAAACAAATCTCTATTTTGAAAAAGGCTTAATTGAGAGAATAGAGAATACGGAAGAAAAAAATTGTCAAAAGTGATGGTAATATCCATTATTAGAATTCATAATTAAACGAGGATTGATTCAAAAAACAAAACCTGCCACTGGTTCTTTAAGGTCTCATACTCCGACTTCTTAACTGACTTCAGGTATTCTCTCTCAGCATATGTTGATTCATATGAATAGTATCCCAAAAGCAAACCCCAAACCTATCATTTATATAAAAGCCTTATTAGAGGAAGAGCAAACCTCATATGAACAGTATTTTAATTTATAATAAAAAATACTTGGCCTAAAATTCATCACATACACAATACACAAACCTCATTTCGTAATTTGTGGTCAAGTCCACCATAAAATATTCTCTTTCTGAAAGCTTCTGAATCTGTGACTCGCCCTTCAAAATCCAAGAAGGTAATCCACTGCAGATGTTTGACCCCAATATGCAATTAGCAAACAATATCTCAAAACTTTAAGTATAAATCTTCTAACTTGATAACATGAATGATATCCCTCAACAATTCTTACAATCAGCATAGCCAAGAAGCACACACCAATTAAACGACAGTAGCTTGAAAACATTTCATTTCAAGGTAATATCAAGGGCACGATACCAAAACTACTGCATAAGTTGTCACATCACCTCCAGAATGCTCCTTTATGGCACAGTACAGTTAAAAAATAACTTAAGGTGTGTTCGGGATGGAGGGTTTTGAAGCAAAAAGAATGGGGGCATAAATACTTCATTTCGAGTAAATATTCTCCAATTTAAGAATTTTTAGAATGAAAGGAATGAAATGATAGATTATCATGAAACCTTATAATCCCTCGTTCATTTTTTTGGATACATCTCGTTCATTTTTATGAACACTATATAACTCTCTTAATTCAAAAATGAAAATTTTACCCTCCCTTTCCTTTCCCTCCAAAACCCTCCATCCAAACATGGTAACAGAAAGGAATTGACATGAAGTCACGTATCCATACTGACACCTAAACTTTCAAAATTCATGAAAATAAAAATATGAACCAGATCAAGACATAGAACTTAAAACTGATAGAAATTCGGCATGCACACTTGTCTAAGACACTAGTACATAAGCATACCATCAAATATGCAGGATGAATAAAATTATTTCGGAGTTACTTTCTTTCCACTCTTAACTCCACATTTTCATAGATAAGAATCTGCATTGTGTTACAGTTTAAATCCTTGAATTTCCTTTTTTTTTCTAAAAAGCACAAAGTTGTCCCTCTTTTGTCCCATTGTTACACGTTGTAAAATTAAATTATTAAGAGTTAAATTACAATAACCCCCTTGATATTTCAGCCATTTCCAATTATCATACATAAAGTTTATTTTGTAACACATAACTTCCTTGAAGTTAGGGTTAGATTATTAGAATTAAAAACATTGATCACGAGAGAAGCAAGTGCCTCTTTCAATAAAAGAAGGTTGAGTAGCATGTGAGCTGGCTCAACTCATTTCCAGCACTACCTATGGGATGCTGAATTTTCAAGAATTTAACGCTTTTTAGTCTAACCCAAACTTCAGGAGGGTTATTTGTGATTTACTATTATTCTTATTTGCAACAAATATATCATTTAAGATAATAAGGAAAGAAAATATCAATAATTAGATTATATACACCTGATTGAATCATAAACATTAAGGAACTTCTTTCACCCAGAGATACATTCTGTTGACACTCACAGAGGAAAATATAGAAATATAAACGTATATATATATATATATATATATATATATATATATATATATATATATATAGGTGTTGTGGGGGGGCTTGTCAAGAAAAGAAAGCTAATTGAAATTCCAGGTGAACAATTAAGCCAAAACCATCATACTGCCCATCTAACTTTTGGTCCAGCCATCACCAGAATGAAACAATCCTTCTAGGTTGTCATTTGCAAAAGCAACAATAAGGAAAACTTGCATTACAATAACGATGATCATCATGACAAGTGAGCATTTCCAAGAGAAAATCATGCATATAATCTTATGCTAGCAGCCTGTATAAGAAACAATATCATTTATGGAACATACAGCTCATACCTCTTCAGAACCTAAAGGAGGTTGCCGCGGTTTTCCCCATACTAGTGATAAATTATCAAACTGTTAGAAGAGAAACAAAAGAGGATATCATTAATATTATTCGGTGTAAAAGGGATCAGGAGAAAAAAAATAAAAAAAGACAGCTATATATAGTATGGAAAACATGAGCAGTATCCTAAATCAGTCCATATCCATACACTGATACACACCAAATATGATATTACTTCCATAACAACTATATTAACACAGATTGACAGATGCCACCAAGGCACAATGTGGACAAGTCAATTGACATATCAGACAATTTTTAATACAGTCAATATCACCTTGAACAAATTCTAGCACCTAAACTTTCTTTTCAATTTTCTGTTTCCGCTTTCTGTAATTTCATGTTTTCGGCATTTCGACTCTTATGTATCTGGGTTGCTGTAAGGAGCTAGTCTCCTCTGTTCTTCATGAATAGAAATACAGTTCCAGCAGATGCACAATATCCTAACTAGTTCATATTGTATGTCACAGCAGGACTATTTCTGCAAACAACCGGTGCATGATTATAATATTACCTAAGCACCCATTATCCATCAATGACAATAAACTATAGATCTTTAACAAAACTCTCTGTAAGACTCACCAATGATAATGGCAAAGAGAGTAGCTAATGAAAATTATTGTCATTGAAACACTCATGGTACAGATTTTAACAAAAAATAAAAAGGACTGTGACCCATAAACAAGACATTCCTGTACCTCCTTACAACTGATAAGCTCAAAAGTTCCCACACTGGTGGCAGCTTTCTCACCATGTTCATGTTTCAAACATGAAACATTCTGTTTAGTTATGATGAAAGTCCGTATCAGATGGTCTGAGAATATAACTTCAAATTATTCAACATTAGCTCAAGCTGTGGGGCTGGGAATTGCATCAAGACTTAAGGGATTTCCTCAAAGCGTATTTTTCTGCCATAATTTTAACAGTCGGAACACTTACAAGATATAGGCCATAAATCTTCACACTGGATGCAACTGAAGAGACTTAAAAAATCCCCTTCTGAAATGCATTATCCAATAGGTTTGTTCCAGGCATGACATAAATCAACTTAAGCACTACCTTGATGACCTTACTATATACACTTATATTTTAACCAAGCTCTGTCTGCACAATATTCTCAACACTGCCAAAGCTACTGCCTAATGGATAATGGTAAAGAGAGTAGCTAATGAAACACAGCCAACAAATTAAGAGATCCCAACATATTGTTCACAGGATAAAAAATACACGAGTAGACATAATTACAACATCCTGTACTAAAGCAAAGGTTGCCAAAAAATTAAAAGGAAAATAAATAAACAAATTCTAAAAAAATCCGATTTTAATGAAGATATATACTATTATTCCACAAAACTACACACAACGGGGAACCCTTAGACATAACATATTGATTATAAAATGCCATTTCACCGTTCATTCAAAGTTAATTATATTCGGGGTAGAAGATACCAGCAAAGTAAGCACCAAACGTTTCTAATCCAAATAATTTTGCAACTACAACAAAAGTTATCTTGCTGACGTTAAGCTAACAATTACAACATCAGCACCAAAGAAAAAGGGGTTACCTCCTGAGAATCTGAGACAACAGGACTTTCATCAGAAATGTTTCCTGCAACATTGGAAGGCTTCTTAGGATGATCAAGGTTAGTCTGGATATGGGTTCTCCTCTCATTGGCACTAAATCCATTACTCTGGTTTTCACCAAAGAGTTGTGAAGTTGTTTCACGGGCAAATTTTGTGACAAGAGAGAACTTCTCTAAAACATGAATAGAGATGTCCCGAGGATCATGAACTTTATGCCTTGGTCTCCCATGGAACTGAGTAACACTGGCACTTCCATTATTGATATCACTATCAGCCCCCTCTTGGTTCTCATTCAAAGTGGATTCATCAACTGACATATTTGAAGGTCCGCATGCAAGAGAAACAGCCCTGGGCAGCTCCAAGGAGGACAAAGTTCTCTGGAAGTCAATTCAAGCATTAGAAAGTTTAGCAGGCCAAATAAAATGACATAATATTCAATGCTATAAATTAAGTGGCACTCAGAGGCCTAAGGGAACTCCAGATGTAAGCATTTGCATTCTTCCCATCTTTCTTGCTAGAGAGACAAGTTATTAACATTTGGACTGTCAAAATAAAAGAGGTTACTCGTGATCTTGTATCACTAGCGACATAAATTATCCTCCTTTTGTAAACATTTTCCTTCATATATACTGTTGACATTGCTAAAAGTCAAACATAATATGCATCAATTATCCAGTTGCTAAAACCAAACAAACTTCAATTGAATATCACACAGCACACACCTGCAGTGTATTCTGAAAATCATTCACAAGGAAAATGTTTGCATCTTCTGCAGACCTGAAATGCAGCACAACAAGAAACAAAAAAGAGATATTTAACATATGTCTCCATTTGGCACACAAATAAGAGCAAAATTGCAAGGAAAAAACAACTAAAAATGATAGATGTGTGCTGTCAATATAATGTTTTTCTTGATGCAATGAACATGGCAATGAATTTGGAAGTGTATAGGATTTTATTGGAATCATTCCAGCATCAAAGAGTGATTTTGATGCATGTGGAAGAGGAAAAGGCTAGTGGAGATAGGTAATTATAGTGTGCAGAAAACATGGGCAGATGATCACCAACATTTGTAAAACATTGTGCCTAAGGTGTCATGAGATGTGTCACACAGCTGATCACTTACTTGAAACTAAGAATGATTAAATTTTTCACATAATACATAGAGAATTCATTTAAAAAGTTTTATGATGACAATCAAACAATGCCCACTGCAGTTTCATCAATTTCAGACACAGTGAAACAAAAACATCATTTATAAATAAACAGTAACAAAAAAATTGGCAACAACTTGAGACAAGACTACACTGAAAAGTAATTATCAAAAAAATTAATCAGTCTATCTCTCCACCGGACAAAACATGGATTTATTCACAAATCAATTCTTATGACAATTAGAGCCCAGGAGTATTGAGAACTTATCGAATAATCAGCACATTAGCTCTGGTGTATGATTAACTGGTATAACAAGAAAAAATTGCCAAAGAAATGAATAACAACACAATTTTGTAGAAACAAAGGGAAATGGAAAACACATCTTGATTCATTTTCTCTGAGATTCCAAAGATAAGCCTCTAAAAAAGAAACGGAAGAAAAAAACAGAAAAACAGAAAAACAGAAGATAAGCCTCCAAAGATATCTATGAATGAATTTTCAAGACATATTCAGCACATCTTCCCATGTAATCAATCATAAGCAAAGAGAAGCATCTCTGTAAACAATCAGCTGAGAAAAATATTATTCAGGGCCAGAAGTCATGATGTGATGATAAGAAGAATATTTTGTCATTCCATTTTCAATTTTTTTCCTTTTCCCCCTTTAACATAAAATGTTATCATTCCCTTATTATATTTTTATCTTTCCCTCCTAAACTCTTCACCAAGCCTAGTCTTCTATTGATACAGCAAGACAAAGAAATGGGAATCAAATAACTCCTTTTGAATTGGTCATGGGGCTAAGCCCCATAACCACCCCACAGGCTTTCTTAATTCCCAGGTAAATTTCAATATTTTATAGTATATCATCAATAGATTGGTGATTGTATTATTAATTAGCCACATGAAAAAATAAAAAAGGGCATGAAACAAGAAGCCAACCTCACAAGAAGAACATGTTGCTTTATTGTAGCAAGGAATTCTTTGACTCCTCCACTATAGAAGTATAGTGGAGGATAAGCAAGTCCTGCAAAAAGATTTTATTCACACAAGATTGAATTGTAGAAAACAGAATATAAAGTATAAGTTGAGTCAAATATCTAAACCTGCCCTAGCTATAACTATCGTTGCCAAACAAACACAAACATCTTACTTACCAAATCAAGATTACCCAGAACACTTAAAAATACTACAACTAGATATAATTAACAGAGATCACGTCAAGAATGAGCCATAACTGACTTTCAAAGAGAAATCATACATCCAGCATTTAAGTGCAGCAGCAGCTATGCACGCACTCAACAGATAAACAAAAAAAAGGAAAACAAAACAATTTTTTTATTGATATAATTGGACCACACAGATCAAGGGTAGAAACAACCAGTGCCCAGTAATTGAGAACTTGGAAAAACGGGAAGTTATTAGTTAATATAAAAGTTATTTAATAGTTATTGATGTCGGAAGCACGGATGCAAGAAAACCAGTAAAAACATGTCAGGAAACAAACAAATATACAACTCCCCCGACTTGCAAAGGTAGGGGTGAGAAAATTCTTATACACAATCTTACCCTTGTATTTTTGCAAAAAAGCCATTTCTTGACAAAAACATCTCAAAATGATTTTGAAATGCAATAAAGTACATCAACTGCAAAAAAGACATTTTCAAAATGCGTTGAACTTGGAAAAAAGCATCAGAACAGACAAATATGTTTGCATTTTCTGAAATGTATCATTTAAAAGGAATAATAGTGTGACTTTTTAATATATTGTACCGTTAATTTTTTAATACATTAAAATATATATTTTTTACTATTACAATACAAGTATTTTGCAAGGGCGAGCCTTGGAGCAGCGATAAGGTTGTTTCTTGTGATTGGAAGGTCACGGGTTCAAGCCTAAAAAACAGTCTCTTTACAAAAAATTGTAAGGGTAAGACCTCAGACAATCGATCATCATCCTTATGCTCACAAGTCAGGGAGCCTTGTGCATTGGGAATTTGCAGTGTATAAGAAATGTCTTGCACTACCTTTTTACTAAATTTTTCAAAAGTTACTCTATCCTGTATCCATGCACTGCAGTAAATCAATGCAGATGTTAATATTGTGCATTAATCTATCACCTACTTCTAGAAACATTTTCCTATTTATAAAATTTTCCCGTGCTATATACAGGTTAAAGAGTCAAAACCTCCACAGTTTATTAGGCCCAAAAACAAATGTTCTCAGTTTAGCTTTTCCTACATCAAGCTGGCGGGCTTATTCTAGGTTCCCTTTAGTCTTTTCTTGGGCTTATAAAAATCAGCACTGTCTGATGCGAATAACCAATTTCTCAACATTTAATAACCAAGTTAGAATAGTATGATTGCAAAAGCTATCCACTTATTGAGTATCTGCTCAGAGAATTGGATATATAGTTTCTGCCAACTTGCACATTAAATCCAAGGGAATTCCATCCTGGCACATTAGTTTAGTTACTTTAGCCAACAAAAGTGCATAACACAAGTAGGAATTTCAATTCAAATACCATATAAAAAGAATAGATTAATCCACCCAACGCAGTATTTCATCTACATTTATACCCAAAATAATAAAGTAACACCCCGTAATAAATTCGCCATTATACATGAAACCACATGTACCCCACTATGGCCTTATGATTCAATATATTATCATACGCATAAATACACATAAATAGTAAGGTACCTGGTTGCTACAGAGCAGGGTGGGGAACAAAATAATGAAAAAAAATAAAAATAACCCCAACTGATATAAAATCCATTAGATTTATCAACAGAAAATCACCTGACGATAGAACAACAATGATATATTGCCATCCAAGAGCAGGATTATGCCTCCGGATGGACCTGATGTCAGTGAAGGGCACCGCCCTTATGGTGTAAAGTTTTCTGTCTAAAAAAGAAACTGAACAAATTTCAACATAGAAACCACAGTGCACAAGGCAGTAAAGTCATCCAACCTACTCAAAATGCAAACTACCTCTATCAGACAAACTGGCCTCTGAGCTATTCCCCTTGTAAGGTATCCAAGTCTACAACGAAAAGAAGAGATTTGTATAAACAACAAATCATACCAAACCAAAAAGTAACGAAACAACCAACCAATTATTACCATAAACAAGGAAGAGCTTTGCTTAATCAACTTCAGTCTTCCACTAATTCTTTCGGAGGCGAACTGAGTCGGATGAATTGCTACATTGTCCTTCGAATATACAATTTCAGCACCGTCCCGATCACTAGACGAGGAGCTCTGTTTGGTTCTGTCGCTCTCCAGCATCATGCTTGCCGATCCCTAATCCGAATCAATCACACAAAAAAAAGCTCGCGAACTCAGTTAAAATTGTGATAGAAAGGATAAAAAGCAGCGCAAGATTAGATTATTCAATTGATTCGAGAAACCCTAATTGAAATGCAATTGGACTGGAGGAACCAAAAGGTCACCGGAAATTGTGAAGTGAAAAGGGCGATACTCTTACTTGTTGCTGCGACGCAGCGTAATCGGCATCGTCGGACAAATCGTGAAGCTCTGATTCTAGCATCGGTGAATTTCGCAGAAAACTGAAAACACAGAGCGAGAGAGAGAGAGAGAGAGAGGTGCCTTCGAAGCGAAGGAAAATCTGCGTTGCGCGAAAATAAACAGAAATGCGAAAGGAGAGGTCGTGACGTTTGTGTTGTTACTTGTTGTTTGTCTTCAACGCGGGTACACCGTTGGATACTAGCAGCAGCAGAAATTAACGGCTGAGATCGACGAATTACCACCACCGTGGTATTTAGTCAACATAGTAACTAAAATAGTGAAATTACCACCACCGTTGGATACTCGCAGCAGCCGAAATAAACGGCTGAGATCGCCTTTGCCTTCCACCACCGCCTCCTTGTAAGAAACTTCCGTTAGTTTGTTTTAAATAAGTTAATTTACATAACAAAATTTATCATGCTATTTGTTATTATTATTTATTTTTTGACAAAAATATTTTTGTGTCATTTTAATTGAAATTACTGTGAAATAATTTTTATATAATAATTACAGATTTTATTATATTTTCATATTAGTTTTATTAAAAGTTTAAATAGTTTGTTATTAAATTCTATCAAGAGACTTTAAAAATAAAAGATTTTTCTTTGAAAATAGAATATATTATGTTTTCATTAAAAAAATAAATTCTTTTCCCCGAAGGATTCAAGCAAACACGATAATACTTGTACAACGTTGACTAAAAACACGCTTTTTTTTCTTTTTCTTTTTTAAGTTTAAATGACAATAGCCCAGAAAACCAGAAACAGAAAGCAATCAATATTTTTCTTTTTTAGTAGGCAGCAATCCATATTTTTAGTTATTGATTACATACGACCAAAGCATTAATACGAGTTTTAACTATCAAAGCTAGGTCAGCTAAGAAATCACCCTTTTAGCTTATGTATTGAATAAATTTGAAACATAAATGTTAAAACAGTTTTATGGAAATTGTTCATGAACGAAGTGGCGTGATCTCCATCAATTAGTTTTCTTCTTTTAGTAAAACCATAATTAGCATTTGTAAACTAAAAGGCAACAAAAATGTTGATGAGTTATCTTGCAATAACTTATCTCTATATAATAAAGGAATTTATATTTCTTATACAACATAAGAATAGTTTTCTTAGGCTACACTTACATTGTTTTACGTGCTAATTTTTTTAATTTTTTTATTTACTTTTTTTAATGGGGCCATCTAAATATGTGTGTGTTGCAAAAATTCTCATCTTATGTGACATAAGAAGTATAAACTCCTATAATAAATTATGACGGAGATTATAATCACTTGATAGTTTGATGAAAATCAAATCAATTGCTTTCATTTAATATTATTTATAATTGTTGATTTGATTTTGATTCAATAACTACAAAATTGCGTGGTTGTAAGAGAATGTAAGAAAAAAGGAATTATAAATATAATCTTTTCCATAAAATTTAATTTTAATTTTTTATTAAATTTCTTTTTCTTGAAGACACATATATTTCATATTGGTTTAATATTTTTTATATTTTTAAAAATATCGTTATTAATTTTTAAAGTTTTTATGTTTTTCGAATTTATGTTATTTATAGATTTATCTATGTTATAATTTTTTTCTTTTTTAACTATTAGCTGTTTATATTCTTAAATTAATTTATCATTCATTTTTTACATTAAAATTTTATTTATTTTTTTCAAATCTGAACTCCTCATTTATTATATATTAAATTTAGAATTATTATTTTTAAGTTTTTTATATAATTTTTTTTAAATACAATCCTTATTTTTTTAATTTAAATTTGAATATTTTTAAATCAATTATGCATATAATTTTATAATTTTAAATTTTATTTCTTTTGATATGCATTTTTTTAAAGTACACTTGAAGTAATTTATATATACATTTTTTTATAATTTTTCAATTTTTTAAAAGCATAAAATACTCGGCATAGTATATAAGATATTTATTACATACGACCAACTGTTTTGGTCACTATATCATATTTAAATAATACTTAAATTGTGAATAAAATAATTAAATATTATGAATAATATTCAATGAACTCCTACGCGAGAAAATATTAAATAAATATAATATAAATTATAAAATTATTAGTTTTTCTTCTACTAACAACTTAAACTTTTAAGTTAATATCATTTTCTACGCACAAGATATACACATCTTTTATTTACTCCCACTATCTTATATACACATTGATTTAAGTATCCTGAGACCCTTTATCGTACATATTCCTCTCATTTTTTCATCTAAAACTTATAAAGAAATCTCCTTCGGTCATCATCAAGTAACGCTCTACAATTTTTTACTAATCTAGATAATTTGGATTGACCAAATAGTATGTGCGTTTAGTTTATATATCACATCACGTTTGAAACATGGAGTGGTTAATTAGTATATTTTACTTTCATCCCCACCAGTTTCAGAACACTTTTTCTCCTTCTTTTTCTCCTTCTTAATTAACCTCTAGCATTTCACCTACTCATTTATAATATTTAATTATTTCATTAATAGAATAAGGGTGGTAACTTAATGAAAATTGAATTTTAAATCACTTTGTCATAGAAACTATGATACATACAAATAATTATTTCAATAAAAAAACTTATATTTTTAAATAAAGATAAATTAATAATTTTATATTATACTTGCTTGGAGGCTAGGTGGCCGAGAAGACTTTACGACGTCGGGGTATCAGCTAGGGAGATGGCTATATGTTCAAGTTCAACTATAGATTAGTTATGTGACACGATTTAGGTTACTACATACAGAGAAAAAAGGAATCTAAACCTGAATCTATATGAAATGGGTCTAACAGAATTGAGTCTACAACACTAGGCCACATCAATATGTATTCAACAATAGGGCAATGTTTTTCTTTCTTTTTTTCTTTTTTTTGGTATCCAATGTTTTTCTTCTTTAATAAGAGACAAGAATTACTTCCTACACATATATCAGTGTCAACCAACCTTCTTTTTTCTTTTTAAAAGTAATGGACCTCAATAAACTATTTCTATTGCATAAAATAACTATCATATGCAATGTAAAATAATTATTTCCCTAAGTTTTAACAGGAAAAAGAAAAAGAAAAATAGCACATTGGTTTTGTGCGAAGAGAATGAATTTTCCGTATTAAGAGGGAAAATATACATATATCGGATCAATTTACGAATTCAGTATTCTACTATTCTCGTAAATTGTGCTTTGTAGGTTTTCGAGAAATGCAATTTTCTTGGGACTTTACCATATTGTCACTTTTTAGGTAAAAAATTACTGTATTGTCACGTCAGGAAAAAAATTTGTCAGAATTTCACGTCACAATCTCGCTGGTCTGACAAGCGGGAATGGTCTGGACACGTGTCAGCGTTTTAATGGTCAACCATTCTCGCTGGGCTGACTAGCTAGAATGACAGAATGCTGACACGTGACAAAAGTACAAGCATTATCTGGATGTCTGTACTTTTGCCACGTGTCAGCATTCTGTCATTCTAGCTGGGCAGTCCGAGAATGGTTGACCATTCAGATGCTGACACGTGTCCAGACCATTTCCGCTTGTCAGACCAGCGAGATTGTGACATGGCATTTTGGTAAAAAAAATTTCTGGCGTGGCAATTCGGTAATTTTTTATTAAAGGAGTGACAACATGGTCAATGTCCCAATTTTCTTACTGTTGTTTTTATTATTTTATTATTTTCATAATTATTGGATTGTTTAAGTAATAGGTATTATTTTATTTGTTTTGTTATTTGAATTTCAACTTTTCTAAAGAATAGATGATAATTATTAATGGAGTTTAATTAATGTTAGTGGTTAATTACTTTAATGGTTGACTTGTATTATTAATCTAAATATTGAAATATTTGTATAAAGATCACGAGATAAGAAAAAATATTTTGGATATTTGTTTGTGTGCTTGTGTTTCCTGAATTGATCTCAACTCCTTTTATCTTCTTCCAAAATAGGTGTATGTAACAAATGTATTGTAAAGCTGGGTGGATTTATTAGGTATCTCTTATTCTTCACTCCATTGCTGGAGTGACATAAAATTAAAAGACTTAGCTAAACATTAAAATGAGATTTTCAATTTCCACTAAAAAAATGAGATTTTTAATTTACTTAATATTATTTATTTTTTAGACTATTTAATTGCAAAGTTGATAGTTATTACAATCAATGTTGTTTAACATTTATTTTTTAATTAATAATATCTCCCTCTAGATATAGATAGATATATTCCATTTAATATTGTACTATATTGTACTTGCACAATTTCTCTTAACATTATTAATTTTGAAAATAAAAATAAACCATCAATGTCAAATTAAGTGGTTATTTTGTTTTAAGTGCTTGTTTGATATGTTTTATTTTTAACTTTTTTTTATCCTTAAAAGCAAAAACTTAACCAAATATAATTTTGTAAAAGCTCTTATTATAAAAGAGCTTTTTTTATAATAAAAAAAGTTAAAAGTTAAATGGTCAGGAATAAAACTTTCTTTTGACTCTTTGACCCATTTGGGCTCTTCCCAAATACAATTCACCTGTTTGGTATTGACTGGTACGATTTTATAGTTAGGGGTGTTCGGTTCCGCCCTAGGTCCAGCGGAATGAGTTTTGCCCCACTCCCTAGTGGCAATGATAAATTATCTTTCATGTTATGTGTAAGGTTTACTTAAAAGTTAACGCATTTACATATTCTAGCACTTGCTTAGAGTCTATTTGGATAATTTCTTTTTTAAGTTAGAAGTTATTTTTAAGTTAAAGTTAAAAAAAGAGCTTAAAAAAAAGCTAAAAATTGTTTGGTGATTATATAAAAAATTTAGCTTAAAAATACATATTTCAGGAAAAACATATCTCTCTCTCTCTTTATGTCTTTTCATTCCAAAAAATACAAAATTTAAGAAAAGTTAATAAGAGCTTAAAAAAAAGTTTCTCCTAATAATTTTTGACTTCTTTTTTTTTCATTATAAAAAAGAGTTTTTCATTATAATTTTTTTTATCAAAACATGTTTGACTTAACTTGTACTTATAAGGAGAAGAGAAACTAGAAATAAGAGGATTCAAATAGACACTAAATCTAATTTTTCGAGAGCATATTCTCCAATTGTGTTAA